CCAGGCTGGACTACTGCAATGCACTCCTCATCGGGATCCCCAACAAAAGCATCCAGAAGCTCCAATACATTCAGAACAGCGCTGCTAGGATCCTGATGAGGGTGCGCAAATATGATCACATCACCCCCATCCTTAAAGCACTACACTGGCTACCCGTGGAACTGAGGATCGAATTCAAGGTCTCCGTCCTCACCCACCAGTGTGTCCATGGAACTGCCCCTCCCTACCTCAAGGAACTCCTCACCCCCCATACCTCCTTGCGGACCACCCGCTCCAGCAACTCCAACTTCCTCAAACCCCCCAGGACTAAGCTCCGTACTATGGGAGACCGGGCCTTCTGCTCGGCTGCTCCCAGTCTGTGGAATGCTCTCCCCGACCAAATGAGAGCACCACAGACCGTGGAGGCTTTTAAAAAAAGGCCTCAAAACCCATCTCTTCAAAAGAGCCTTTGCCTGGACCTTTTTATCACCCTTTTATTATTTTTATTTTTTTTATTGCTTTTTATTAATTCTACCGTGTTGTGTAATGTTTATTTATACTGTTCATGCTCACTACTTGTAGCACTTCGGGATTTTAAATCAAATATGAAGTGCTTTATAAATGGAACCCATTATTATTATTAAAATCAAATACATTCAAATATATACTCTCACATGTCAGCTACAGTCGGGTGCTAGCTGATAACTGTTAACCTGTTTGAGAAATTTGTATCTGTTATTTGAGTACAAATTCATATTTGGACAGTTAAAACAACAATAGTAGGTCATGAAAACACGTTGATGTGTCACAAATTGTAACACAAAATTGTAAGCGTTTTAAGACTGTGCAGCATTTAAACAGGAAGTATGCTAGACTATTTATTTCCCCATTGTAGGAAATAATCTGTCTCCTAAAAGTTGAATCCAATGTCCTTTTTTGACTCTTCCTAGTGAGTTAAAAGGATTTGCAACACTTTTCCACAGCAGACGTGTTGATTTGTCAAACACAGGTGTAACTAATGAACTCATTATGCATGCTGCATTGCACTGCATTAATAGCTGGAGCAGAGCACATCGTTAATGTTATTTGTTACACCTGTGCTTTTCCTGCTAATACAATTCAACATGTTTTTTCAAAGTGATCTATAAATCTAATTCATTTGGGAACAAGAAAGACACAGGAGTGCTGTCCGACAGAAAGGCTATCATGATTTAGGGGGGTAAGATTTATTCAGAGTAGAAGGACATTGGACTTGAAAAAGGGTGATGGTGATCAACATGCCAGGCATTTCACTCGTGAAAACAATCAGCTGGCAGTATACAGCAGAGCTTTGTGTCTTTTGTGTAAAAATAGAAATGTTCATTGGACAACAGGAACTAATTATACAAATATTTTTGAATAAATATTCTCACTTGTTCATAAAAAGGCAGTCAGTTACACATTAAGGGAAGACAAACATTCAGCATTGGGAAACCATTTCAGATGATGTCAGAATTTAGAGTCCATTTTACATCTTGTCTTTTCATTACATTTTTAAGTGTATTCCAATTTTCTGGGAACGTCAACTTCACTCATAACAATGATATGAATGTAAATTAGTTAACATTTATCAGGCACAATAAAGTATGCTCTGAACTTTTTGTTTGTGGCGTTGGTGATTAACCAAACTTCAATGTTTAAAGGTATCTCTTGTTAATTTGACAACAGCAAGTCACAATTCTTACTTGATTCAATAATAGAAGAAATGTGCTAGCTCTACATTTCACACTCACTCCACACATACAGTACACACTTTCCCGTAATGTAATTTCCCTGCTGTCATTCTGGCCATTATCTCCACAAAATGCACACCAACATTGAGATGTTGTTTGAACCAAAGAGGAACAAATATCACTTGGTCGTGGACTGTGATCTTATCAGCTTGGTGATGTTTGCAGTCCGATTTTCCTCTCCCTTGACTTTGCCTTTGTCTGCGCCTCTAATGGCCGCAGGTCTCCCTGACCTCACACACTGTGTTTTGGAAAGGTTGTCAGGAAGAGTTTATTGCGGGTAATGTTCTTAATCTTTTTACACACATTCTGAGTCTTATCAGTGGTTGTTGTTGTGATTTTAACTTGGGAACCATGTCATACAGGATGCTCAGCCATGGCAACAGGGCTTACCGTAGATACACCCTTCCTGTATCGATGATATGTCCTACCTTACCTGGCAATGTGCACTGAATAAGAGCGAGAAAAAGAAAAGCAAAAGGCTCTAGACTTCCCACAGGTCTTAACCTGCTAAGTGTTGGCAGAGGGTCAGAGAGAGAGGCAAACAGTGGGTGGAAGGAAGGGTGAGGGAGTGAAGAGGGAGGACGATCAGAAAGACGATAAGGCTAAGAGGTCTGTGAGCAGGCAAACAGTGAGGTAATGCTGAGTTTGCATTTTGTATTAGTGGACAGTTTATCATAGCCAGTCTGATGCCAACAATCGCTCAAACTCAAGCAGCATTATTGAAGGTTTGAAAATAAATGTAAAAAACAAATCTGAAGGTTGGTGAGTTCAAAAGAACCGAGCTCATTAGACTCCGGATTCTGATATTTGTGGCATAGTTTGAAAATCTAAGCGGCAGGCTTTATCGGAGTACTTTCTAAAGATTAGACAGGTGTATTTTTATCCAGTACAAAAAAGGTATTGCCTATTTAGATTTAGTGTCTCAACATTTCTCATTGTTAATAATATTCTTGAGTCGTTAAGAGAGCAAAGAGTAGAGTCTGAAAAATGTCCTTTTACTTCTGGTACAACATTAAACCTCTGATTGTGATCTAATGTGATTATAATCGACTGCAAGATCTCGCAGGGTAATGATGTAAACCTTGAATACTAAACATTACTCCAGGAGAGAGTTTAGGCAGAATATTAATGTCTGCAGTGCATTTGTCTGCTACCTGCTATCAGCCGACCGTAATGAACCGCCTGCTGCTAGCACGTCTCATGATATCCACTACTTCTCTCTGTGTGTGGGTGGGTTTTCTCCCTCCCCGCTTTCTTTTTCTTATCTTATCACCTCTGTTTTCTTTTGTACTTTATTTTTATCTCATCATCTTTTTGTTCCCCCTACCTCTGATCTCTCTGTTCTCCATCACATATCTGAACATCTGACAAACTCCAGGAGTCCCACAAATCGTTATTCCACTGCAGCTTTCACGGCTTCACTTCTCCTCTTTCTTTGCCCTGTTTCTTTACATACTCCCTGCATAATTAACCTTTTGTTGCCCTTTTCTCGGTTCTTTTACTCCTCCTGTCCTCACCGCTTCATCTGTTACAGGACAGATATACTGGATGAACCTCCACTTTGAACAAATCCCTGACTCAGTGTTTTCTACACCACCAATTTTCTCTTCTCTAACATTCACACCTTTGCTTCAACCCTTCATCTTCACTTTCCCTCTTGGCGTGGCGCCACTTTCCTCGCCTCTAGCTACGGTCGCCTCCTGTGCCCAACACCTGCGTCCTACAGCATCTGTCTCTTCATCCTCCTCTCCTCCCACTCATCCTCCCTCTGGCAGTATACTCTCTCCCGCAAAGACGTGACCACACATCCATGCAGCCCTTTAGGAGAAACCTTACCCACAATGGTAGCGATTTGCATGGCAGGCGCTGGTACCTTTCACAGGAGGAAGGGATGCATTGAGAGAAAAGGAGTTGTAGGGGAAAGTGTTGCTCTGAATTATTAATTTATGGTCTATATACGATGAATTTATGTATCAAAAAGGAGACAGGCAAAAGAAAAAAATAACAGCTGTCCTCTATTATCTCTCCAGAGTGTGATATCTCTGTTAGCCCAAAGTCATCATTTGAAGATGTCCAGCTAATGCCCGAGTCCTCTGCTTGTGTACTGCAGGAGGAATTGATATGCAGACTTTATCGTTACATACTGTAAGGCTATGCATTTTTAATGCAATATCTAGATTTAATCACACAGGCTGTTACTGCTACTGGCAATACCCTTAATCCAGGGTTAACCTGCATGCAGAGTAAAATAAAACTAAATAAAGCACTCAGCTGCTCCAGGAGTTCATTACATTGAGCACATACATATCTGGACGTCCTCTTTCACCACATTGATGTAACGGTTCATTTCTCTCTGCACGGCTGCAGGTCGAGGTTTTCTTGAATCAGCACACAGCACAGCCTCGGCTTGATCGGGCAGTGAATCACTTCTTTTTTTTCAGGGCTTAGGGCAACGATCGAAACACACTAAAACTTGAAAACACATTGATGGAAATAAACTAGGCTCATTTACTGCAGTACAAGTAGTACAAGTACGTCAAAAGAGTAAGCTTACATTTACAGTAAGCTTACACTGCATTTATTTTGCTGCATACGTTACAACAAACTTTTAAATAATACAATTTTATGTATATGATCATGTTTTTAAATATGATTCATTTGTAGAGAGGAAACGAGGCAATGGTAGCTGTATACAATTAAATAATTCCCCCTTGTTGGATTAATAAAGGAATGCTTTGTTTCTGTACCTCGATAACTGCTGCTAAATATTCAGGTATATGAATAGTGTAACACTCCCTGTGCAGTTTTATGATAATGACTATTTATAGCCTACATTTCTACTTTTGATTAAGTAAAATATCCACATTGCCTCCAACAATGATTTTCAATGCTTTATTTTAATACACCTATTGCATTATGTATAAAGGAGATAATGCATTATGCATTCAAGATTCAATTAGTTACAGAGGTCATGTTGTGACACTTAAAAGTGAAGAAACTCTGCATAAGCTTTCCATTTGTAACCCACTTACATGAATGAATATAAATATCATTAATTTGCATTTATATCCTATCACACTGTTATTTAAAACTATGGACTGTTTCTCCAGTTAATCAGAAAGAGCCTTATTTATGAAAAGGTAGAAACACAGCTCATCTCTATGGCCTTCATCAATAAGAAACAGCTGAATTGATTTGTGTTGTTTTATGTGATACAATACTGATGATCTCTCTGTGTTTTCTTTACAGAAGTCCTTCTCTCTGGTGCTGGAGGCTCTGGACTACGACAACGATACGTCAGAATCAGGTGAGACGGCAGTGTGTGCATGTGTGTGTGTGTGTGTTTAATGCCTTTTTATCCTAAGCTAGGGTAAAAGGTTAAAAGAGAGGACGGTTCAATAAAGTTATAATCAGCTTGACATTTTCCAGCAGACAATGGAGAACGAGACGGATGCATGCTTGATTTGGAGTTTGAAGGCCATTTACTTTCTACTTTGTAATTGGTCTATCAACATCTCAAATGCTTAGATTTAAGTGCGTCAAAATTGAATTCGGAGAAATAGGTTTAAAAAGTTGTCTAGTTTTATCGCAGTCATGGCGGTGTGGTTTTCGCCTGTTCTGTGTTGTTGTTTTTTATTAAATTTTCTTTTGCATGTTATTTCTTATCTTGTAAGACAGGATTCAAAACATTTCAAAAATATTATTGCCTGTTATCTACAAATATATACAAATTGTTAACAAGCAGCAATTGTATCGAGGCGAGCAAAACACGAGTGCTGTTTACAGTATGTGTGGTTCAACATGGTGCAACAATGTGAAGATATCCCAGAAGGTCTCTTCTCCAGACCCTTTCATTTCCTGCTTGTCTCCTTGTTGTTACTCCTCATAATCGGGACAAGCTTCCTTGACAGGGAATGTGAGCGGCATGCTATATAAAGCACAACGCAGACACACAGGGCCGCCCCTGGCCAACTTGGGGCCCCAAGCGACATTGTGAGATGAGGCCCCCCCCCCCCCCCAACCGACAGGAGTGAAACACATTATTTTGGAAACAAAGTAGGCTACTTTGCAAATATAATTCCTGTTTATTATTAGTATCAACACAGTTATTTTTGTATACAGTGAGATAAATGGTAAATGTGCATGTACGTCTGCATTTCCTGCCAAATACTAGCCTCAAAAAGATTAAAATATAATGAATGCAAATAAACTACTTCTACTAATAATAATAATCATAATCATAATCAATAATTATATAAATACTATATTATTTTTATTATAATTTAGTTGTAATATAGTCAAGACAAAACATGCTTATGACATACTCAAAAACTGATATTTCTTAAATCTGTATTCATAGTTCCCTCTGTCAGCAATGTATCAACAACTACACACACATTTCTATCAGTATTTCTCTGTGTTGTGGTTGACATGATGATGACTGTTAGGAGTTAAGGGGAGAGGCTGAGCGTCACCATGATGATGACTGTTAGGAGTTAAGGGGAGAGGCTGAGCGTCACCATGATGATGACTGTTAGGAGTTAAGGGGAGAGGCTGAGCATCACCATGAAATGTGCAAATTGACATAAAAATGAATAAAAGGGGAAAAAATGCTCCATGTTTTTTTAGGCTGTAAACTTTAACTGTTATGTAAGCCAACTAGACAGACAGTGTATCACTCTTCCTCCTGTACATTAGCAGATAAAAGGCATAACATACTTGAATGAATGTTAAATAAAGAATGCTGGAAACAACTGCATCTCCATCAGCCTGTATGCTCTGCAGAGACTGCCTTCTTCATGTCCTGAATTGCAGCTGATGTTTTAATATGGCAATTTGACTTATACAACATTCGCAAGTTGTACATTTGACTCATACAATAACCCACCTTCGAGTGATGCTCTAGTTTCTTCATGTTTTGTTTTTTTCCCCTCTTGCTTGCGCAGGACTGAAACTGTCTTTTCACCGACATCTCTTCACCTGCACTAGTGGCCGTATCAAAGCCGTGATTGGTCAGATGTCGATTCATTGCAACGGTGTCGGGTTACAGACGTGCTCTCCTTCTCCGGCCCTGCAGACACACATACACACAGACAGATGTTACTACGCTGCGCTGGCAGCTCTGGGAGGGAAAAAAACATTTTTACTGTTTGCGCTCATCCTAATTTTCGGCCTTGATGTAACAACATTCATAATTAAGTCAAGGTAACACCCTTATCACCCCGGTTACACTTTTCATTTGCCCTGTACGATGGACGCTTTAAGTGATGAAAGTGGGGGGTGTTGGCTTATCAGGCGTCCGCAGCTCACAGCCAAAGTGGGTGTGGGATCGAGCGAGAGAGATAAATGCAATTTATGTAAACAAATATTTCCAAGGCACTCTTTTATAATTATTGGGGTAAACAGGTTTGAAATCATTTCAATGTATACTATAGGACAGAAAACCAAAAATATCGTTTAAAACTTGAGAGATACAAAAATATGCATAAATAAACGTTAACTAGGTAAAATAAGATATGAATGAACAACAAAAATAAAATAAGTTGCATTTATTTGCTATTGGCTATGGTAGGTTATTGGTTATGTTCAAATACTTATTTGATTATTAAAATGTAAACCAATCTTTTTCATATGGGTGTTTAGAGTTGTACCCCCTAGGTCAGGTCTCTAGTAATGTGTGCTCAAAGTGCACCCGATTGAAGCATTTTACTTTAAATGTTCAAACATTTCTTCCTGGGGGGGCATACCCCCGGTCCCCCCTAGAGGATGTGATGTCCACACCCCAATTCAAACATGTTCATACAATACCGAATACATTTGAAGCCTTTTTGATGTATATTACCAACATGTCAATACGTTTCTGTTTTTGTAGTATATTGGTCTTTTGTAGAAATTTTTCATTTATTCTTTATATATTCTATTGTGTATTCCTTGGGTACTTTTAGCTTTTCTATTGTACGATTGAAGTAAATGTGGGAAGCGTTTAACAACAGCCATTTACTTCAAAGATAGTTCGCAATGTTATTCTTATTTTTGTTAATCCTGGAAGAATGCCAGAAAAAAAGACATTTTCTTCAAGAATAAAAAAAAACATGACATTAGTAATTGTGAAAACAAATTAAATAAGTTGTTAGGTTAAGTCAGGGCCGGTTTTTGGCATAGGCGACATAGGTGGTCGCCTAGGGCGCCAGATCTGGGGGGGGCGCTGCGCTGGCAGCTCTGGGAGGGAAAAAAACATTTTGACTGTTTGCGCTCATCCTAATTTTCGGCCTTGATGTAACAGCATTCATAATTAAGTCAAGGTAACACCCTTTTCACCCCGGTTACACTTTTAATTTGCCCTGTACGATGGGCGTTGTAATTGATGAAAGTGGGGGGTGCAGCTCACAGCCAAAGTGGGTGTGGGATCGAGCGAGAGAGATAAATGCAATTTATGTAAACACATATTTCCAAGGCACTCTTTTATAATTATTGGGGTAAACAGGTTTGAAATCATTTCAATGTATACTATAGGACAGTAAACCAAAAATATTGTTTAAAACTTGAGAGATACAAAAATATGCATAAATAAATGTTAACTAGGTAAAATAAGATATGAATGAACAACAAAAATAAAATAAGTTGCATTTATTTGCTATTGGTTATGTTCACATACTTATTTGATTATTAAAATGTAAACCAATCTTTTTCATATGGGTGTTTTACGGCCCGTCCACACAGCAGCGTGCGTTGAAAGCTTCACCATTCACTTTGAATGGGGTGACGTCACTTTGCTGGCGTGGCTCGCTTCAAAAGTTGAGCAATGTTCAAGTTTTGAAGCCACGGCAGAAGCGTCAGCCAATCGAATCATATGCCAGTACAAGCTCTAGCCAATCAAACCGCTGCTTGTATGTCAGGGGCGGGAGATTCATGTGATTGGTTGTTGGTCGAGTTTCAGACACGCCCGCCGGCAAGCTTCAACGCACGCCGCTGTGTGGACGGGCCGTTAGAGTTGTACCCCCTAGATCAGGTCTCTAGTAATGTGTGCTCTAAGTGCACCAGATTGAAGAATTTTACTTTAAATGTTCAAACATTTCTTCCCGGGGGGGCATACCCCCGGACCCCCCTAGAGGATGTGATGTCCTCACCCCAATTAAAACATGTTCATATAATACTGAATACATTTGAAGCCTTTGATGTATATGACTTATGTCAATACGTTTCTGTTTTTGTAGTGCATTGGTCTTTTGTAGAGATTTTTCATTTATTTTTTATATATTCTATTGTGTATTCCTTGGATACTTTTATTTGTTCTACTGAACGATTTTCTGGCAGGGGGGGCGCCAGCTAAAATCTCGCCTAGGGCAACAAATTGGTTAGAACCGGCCCTGATGGTGTAGGAAACGGGCTCCGTGTTACAAGACGGGTCGGGGGTTTGGCGGTACCACTGCAGACTCTCTGCACACACACACACACCGCTGCAGACTCTCTGCACGAAGGAGCCACGGTGCTGCAGCTCCTGATCGGAGCAGAGACACACGTTCACTAAGCGGAAAAACGATATCCTGTCACCAGTGTTTGGACTAACGCGTCACAAGTAACGCGTTACTGTAACGCCGTTATTTTTGGTAGTAACTAGTACTCTAACGCATTATTATTTTTATTCAGTAACTCAGTTACCGTTACTACATGGTGCGTTACTCCGTTACTGCGTTAGTTTTTGTATATAGTCAACAGCCAGGCGAACAGAGATGAGAACTGTACTTAAGTACAGTACTTGAGTAAATGTACTTTGATACTTCCTGTTTCACATGCGGAGACGGGCTGTGGGCGTGTTTGTGTTGTTTACTAACAAGACTATCATAGCGGCGGCGGAGCTCAAGTCTAGTTTCTCCACCTGGAGATATTCTCACTATTTCACTTTTGTCGAGCACAAAGAAAAGAACGTTTTAGTTAAATGTAAGTTGTGTCTTGGCGGGTCAAATATCCTATCTACTGCCCAAACCAGTAATTTAAATCTCTTAAAACATCTGCAAAAACAACATGCTGGGACGAAGCTAGTAGCTAAGACCACAGAGACTCAGCCGACGCCACTCCACCTCCACCTAAGCAACAGCGGCTGGATTTTAACCAAAGGACTGTTATCCAGGGAAAAGTCGATAAAGCCATTGCACGGTATGTTGTAGAACACATGCAGGCTATTGCTACAGTGGAGTCACTCGCTTTCAGGGAGCTAGTTAGCATGATAGCATGTCCGGGCGGCACACGGCATATGGGACGGAAAACTTTTTCCAACTACCTGGAGAAAGAATATACAAAAATGGAAAG